ATCCTTTTTTGTTTACTTTTTGTGTTATATACATCTCGTGTTTTTCTTTATATTTATAGTATATTTTCTAATTTAGTAGATGCAACATACACAATCAGACTTATATACAGAATATATACTCATTATATACCAACGACATAAATACAAAAACACAAGATAAATCAATCTTGTCATTATATATAGAATATATACAAAAGATATACAGAAAACACATTAGATTGTCGATTGTGCTTACGAGAATATATACATTAAAAGATTTACATCTTCTTCACGTCCTCGGGCGTTTTGACCTCGCTCAGCCTCTTCGTCTTCTTCTTCTTTGCCTTCTCCACGGCTGATTTTCGAATCGCCAGATTTTTTCCGGCGGCTGTGCCAATTTTCTTCAGAAGAATCGAGGTTTACAAGGAGGCCGGAATCTTGTACGAGCTCTTGACCTTGGCAATCTTTTCCGATCTGACGAGCCTCTTCAATTAAACGTACAGGATTTTCTAGAAGTTTGTTGGGAGCGATTTCTCCCCGGCAGCAGGTTGTCGAGGAGCTGCGAACAGAAAAAAAAAATAAAAAATCAAAATCTTGTCATATAAACTTGTAGAAGAAGAAGAAGAGAGAGGGTGAGAGAGAGAAAAAGTGTCGTGGGATGTGAGAGAAAAAAAATTTTACCAATTAATTATTTGGAATGTGATAAGTTTTTCCTTTTAATTAGGCATTATGTTGAAAGCATCAGATTTGAACTTTGTGGTATTTCTACAAATAAAATCATTACATTATGTTAATATGCTAATATTTATCATGTTGTTATATTTATGTAATAAAAAATAAAACTAATCGTACGGTGTGCAATTTTCTCAGAAATATTACCTAGTCAATAACCCAATATATTTTTGGGAAATTTACATACTTAAAACTCCATATAGGAGTTATTTTCACATATACAATATACAATCAATAGAAACATTTATTAAAAAGAGATTTGAGAGAGATCTTATTTTCACAATTACGATGATAGCTACAAATCTGTTTCTCTCTCCAATTTGTTGATTCTCTTTCCAACAAATTTGTTTCTCTCACCAAAATAAAGATAATGTCATTAATATGCTCATTTCTCTCTCCAAGCCGTGGCTTTGCTTCTCTTTCCAAAAAATTTGTTTCTCTCACCAAAATAAAAATAATGTCATTAATATACATAACTTAAAACAACATATAAATTAACCGTATAGTTATACATAAAATAAACAACATGTAAACAATACTATGGAATAAAACATAATACACAATTCTGAATGACTCTAAATATATGTTTAGATATACTGTATATATACATCAGATAAACATGATCTGACAGTTCCGTAATATTAACCGTATAATTATACATAAGATAAACAATATATAAATAAACGAGATTGTTGAGAGTAGATGACAATATAGCATACGAATTAAAAACGAGAAAGTAAACAACACAAGATTTACGTGGTTCGGCAATATGCCTACGTCCACAGCGGCTGAGGGATCTTTATTATTCTCAATAGTCACAAATACATCAATACACCATGTATTTATACTATAACCCTACAAGGTATTAATTTACTTAAATCCGCTCACTTCGCCCGGTCGCTCCGCTTCCCTCGCTACGTTCGTTCCGTTACGCTCACAAGCATCAGCCTGCCTCCTTCATTTGCCAATATATGAGCCATATCAACAGAGATTATACATAAATACACAATTTTCTGAATGACTGGCAAAGCTTGCTACTCTCGAATAGAGCGCTCAGCGAACTCGCCCAACAAAACAATCGCTACTCTTCCCGCACGGGCCTCGCGAATGGCTGATGTTCGCTGAAAAGAAAACGGCGGCACGGTGTTGTTGCTGATCGGAAATTAACTTGTCGGGAAATGGATGCTCGAAGTTGATGGCGAGACCCGTCGGAAAAAGGGAAAAGGCCGCTGCCCTTCCCGCTGAAGGGACCGACGAGGGCTGATGCTGTAAAAAGGTCGTCGGCTGCTCTCTACTACGCCGACAAGGGCTGTGAATAGAAATCGAATGGAGGTCGCTAATCGAGGAGGCTGCTGTTGTTCGAGGGTCGAGGGGCTGAGATGGAGGAGGTGAAGGTGGTGAGGCTTCGGGTCGAGTGAATGGGCCCGACCTTCATGGCTTCTCGGCGCTGGCGATGGTTCACTCACGGCTCTGCGAGGAATCTGAAACTCGAACCTGCTGCTACTCATGGCGGAGAAGGCGACTATGCTGCACGAATTAATCTCGTGCGGATGGTGGTGTCGAGCGACTACTGGAAATCACAAAAAGGAAAAGAAATTGTCGCTGCTGCTCATGGAAATCACCGGCTGAGAAAGATCGACGACTCTCGATTTGATGAGAGGCCTAGATTATTCGGCGATTTAAGGTCTGGGATTTTGCGCGATTTCAAGGAACGACGAAAACTCTTAGATTTGCAGCGAGAGGAAGAGAAAAAACAAAAAAAGGTAGAAAGAGATGAGGGAGAGAGATTCAAGAACGAAGAAAAAAGAGAAAGAGATAAGGGAGAGAGAGAGATTAACAAAGGAAGAGCGCGAGAGAGAGAAAGGGACGATTTCTACAATTATGCTAAAGAATAACTTCCATGTATATATCACACTTGGTTTATTTTATAAAAAAATCGTAATTTTGAAGGTAAGTTGTAGAGTTCGTAAATTTAATAATATTTAGCAGAGGATGCGTAGGGGGAGTAATTTTCTCTATATTTTTATTGCAGAAATATAACTCACATTTCTTAGCAGAATTAGTTAAAATGACATTTTATTTGCATAAATACTAAGGCATACAGTTTTTGGTAGTTGAATTATATAAGGTGGATTTAATAGGATTGCATCAACTCTCTCTCTCTCTCTCTCTCTCTCTCTCTCTCTCTCTCTCTCTCTCTTTTCTTTCCTTTTTCTTCATCACTCTCTCTTTCGCCATTTTTTTTGTTTCTTCATCTTGACTCGACCTATTATCCACTAATTCCGCCTCCGCCGCAACCCCAATTTTACTGACTATGAAGAAGGCCAAGCATCAAACAGTCGAGTGCTCACTCGACGGACGACAGAAGGAACAGACAACATCATGTCGCGTCATACGTGCACTTCGCCGACTTGCTGACTCTCTCTCATATTTATCTAAGACGACCCCAACGACGCGTGATTGAGGCATTTTCACCTCCAACACTTTCAGCCGCGGCCCGTTGCGTCATGGACGAGATGAAAATTACCGAAGATGTCATTGAAAGTGATAACTAATATAAAAAAAATAATAATAAATAAACAATAAAATCGACCATGTCAGCAAGTATAAGAAAAAGAGGTCAAGACTTAACGATAAGCGTCAAATCTTGTGCAAGACGAGCATCAAAATATTTTTCAGTATATTTGCGTTGCTAGTCAGTATATTTTGCGTTTTTATTTACTTACCATTTATCTAACCACATTGATGTTTGAGTTTTGTTTATTATATTCTACTTAATTTTATACCAATGGTCTTTACAACATTGATATGTAAAACACTTTATAAGTGATTTTCATGATGTAAAAAGAAAATGAAGTAAGAAAGAAAAATGAATGACAAAATCGACCAGGTCGGCAATTATAAGAAGAACAGGTCAAGACATAGCGTCAAAATCTTGTACAAGACGGTCATTAGAATAATTTCAATATATATATTGCCTTTATAGTCAGTATAATTTCAATATGTGTTGCGCTTTTATTTACATATAACATTTATCCAACCACAATTATAAGAAAAATAAGTGACAAAACCGACCAGGTCGACAATTATAAGAAAAAGGAGGTCAACTCTTAACGACGAGTGTCAAAATTTTGTGCATAACAAGCATTATAATAACTTCAATATATGTTGCTTTTATAATCGATATATTTTCAGTATATGTCGTGTTCTTATTTACATAACATTTATTTGCACCGTCGCCGCCAATTTCTACCCAAACATCACCACCATCACTTCCTCCCTCCTACCGCTTCCACCAAACTCATCGACTGCAAGAAGGATGAAAAAACTGCCGGTCCGGACCAACTCAGGTTTTACTTCCACCGAATTGACTACCTCGACCCCGAACCCTCCACCAACCTCTTCGACGACGATCTGGATCCGCCGTCCGTTCCTACAGCTGTTATCTGTCGTCACTCATATGAATGAGAGAGAGAGAGAGAGAGAGAGAGAGAGAGAGAGAGAGAGAGAGAGAGAGAGAGAGAGAGAGGTGTAGAATAATAGTCTTATTATTATTATTATTATTATTATTATTATTATTATTATTATTTGTTTTTATTTATCTTGACTTGGTGGGCAAGTCAAGAAGTAGAGTTTATGAAAGCCTTATTTAAAGGACTCTCACTCTTTTGTTATCTTCAATTGATGATCGAATGAAATAAAATAGTGTTGAATTTTGCGTGTTTTACGAGAGAGTATCTCGTTTACTCCTTTATCCTTCCCACTCGTACGCTTCCCTACATCAAAGAGGGAGAGATATAGAGACTTACATAATAATCCTTTAAGATATGTTCAATTTTTGTGTTTTATGTTCAATTTTTTTTGTTGTAATGTTATATGAGCCATCACTAAGAAGATAAGGGAGGGTCCTCATGGCCATGGGAATGTATTTGAAGAAAAATTCGACTAAAGCTTTGTTACCACGATCACACACGCTCTGCACGTGTGGATTGTACGGTGATAAAGTCCGTGATAGCTACATGATCGAATTTTCCGTATATATAACCAAAAGGAGAAACAATATTTTACCAAGAATAAACTTTACAATCATTCCCTACTTATTTCATCACACCATCTGCGGACTCTGATACACAGCCTCTCACTATCTTGCAAACTCTCACTATTCCATATACTATTTACACAAACACACACACACACACACACACACACACACACACACACACACACACACACACACAAAGCACCCACAAAATACCTACCTTTAACTCCCACATCTCCCCCATTTGGATTTAGGAGCTTTCATGGAAGCTCATTGCCCTCGACATGGCCGCCGGATTCGCTTGCAGCACGGTGCACGAAGTTTCCGGAACATGACCCCTCCCTTCCCCTTTCGACTCCGTCCCGAAAGCCTTAAAAAGTCCACCGCCGCCGCCTTTCCCCGACTCGGGCCCACCCGCCTCGTTCTTTACGATACCCAATGTGGCCCAAATCGAGCTCTTGGCCGCCTCTTCCGGGTCGTCTATCCTCAACGTCTTCGGGACCCACAGGCACCTCTCCGGATCACTCTCCTTCACGGGCCCCGCCTCCCTCGAGTGCTTCCCGAGCATCGGGCCCGAGTTCCCGGGCCCAACAACGCACGGCACGCTCCACCCCCAAGGGTGGGGCGAGGTGTTTGGGTAGTTTGGGTAGAACGGAACCGGGCCCCACCCGACAGGCCCCCACGGGTTGTGGTAGACCCATTGGGCGGGGGCGGGCCCATCCACGAGGTTCGGGTCATGGGCCGGGCCCCCGAATGCGAGGACGGCGCCATTTGGGCCCGGGCGTTGGTGTAATTGGGCTGCGGCGGAGCTTTTGTTCTTGCGGCGGCCCGCGCCAACTGGGACGTTTCTCATGGAGCCGCCAGCTGTCCAATACCGCTGGCAATTCTTGCAGAAGTGGCGCGGCTGGTTCACGTTGTAGTTGTTGAAGTAGCAGAATTTCGTGTCCATGCTGTTGCATCGAGGGCAAGGGAGGATCTTGTCAGGCTTCTTTAAGGTTGTCTCGCTCGGCCCGCCAGTTGTCTCGGGCTGGGCTTCGACGGGCTTCGGCCCGTTTGGAGATACATCATCGAGCTTCTCCGGACTTGATGGGGTCTGCATATACATATATTCTGCTCGTTTAGAATTGGAATTGAAAGCTCTGAGTTTTTATTTTCACGCATTTTTCGTGAAACAGGAAAAACAGAGATTCTTGGTTATACACATTGAGCATCATGAATAAGCTGAAAATGAATCCTTGATTCAATCAATACTCTATGTTTGATTTTTTGTTTTTTTGGGAGCATATTTGATAATTTTGCAGCAGCTGAGAATAAAATAAATTCATTGGAACAGATTAAAATATTTAACTTTTCAGTTCCCTTTTTTTCAAGCAGGTCCAAGCCATTACACTCGAGCAAGATAACAAACAAAGGACTAAATGGATATTGACAACTTTGCTCAAAGCAAATTTAAGGGAAATGCTAAGGTTTCGTTACGAAACCATTCCGTCGGATGGTTACAAACTCCGACGGAATGGTTCCGTAACGGGACATAGCATTTTCCCAAATTTAAAGCAGCAAATTGGAAGGCCATATTGCCAAAAAGTTCCTGCATAACACAACATGAAAGACAGCTAATTTCACACAAATAACAGGCTTTCGATTCATCTTCTTTACAAAGCAAAAATCCTTAATCACTCCAAAAACAAAAACAAAAACAAAACAGAGCTCCATATCTCAACTACACCTTATAAACCCTAAATCGAATCACAAAACCCACAAAAAAACTTCAACAGAGCAACAAAAACCAAGACAAACCCATTAAATATTAAACCATTTCAATTCAAGGGCCGTCCACAAAACTCGAAATTTCATTAAAATTTCATTTTTTTATTAAAAAAAAAAAAAAAAAATCCTACCTTGACTGATTCTTGCTCCTCTGCATCTCCACTCATAAAAATGCTATCTTCAACCATAGAATCAGACGAACAGGGTGGATCTTGGTTCGGGCTATCCCCTACAGCAGGCTCACAGGACCAAGACGAGCCAGGCTCGCCGCCCTCATCCGCCGCCGCCGCCGCTGCCGAATTTTCCGGCGGCCCAATAGTTTGGCCAAAAAGCTTTATCTTGGGGTCTTTCACTTCAGACATCCCTACCCTTTTATCTATATCTAGCCAATCCAAACTAGAAAACAAAAATAATAAAAAATGGGAAAAAAAAAAAAAAAAAGAATGTGTGTGTTGGAGTTGGAATTTGGAGATCTGACAATCTACACGCACTGAGAGTGTAACTGCGTGTTTTTTTCTTGATTTATTTTTTATTTCTTTGTGAGCTGTGTTTGAATCCGAGGAGGGGTTATTGAGGTTTTTTTCTGGAGGTGCCACGTCAGAAAAGGGCACAATTTTTAGCCACAAGTTGTATGTGGCTTTGAGATTTTGTCTCTCTCTCTCTTTTTTTTTTTTTTTTTCT